TGAGTCATTCTAGGGCTGTTATAGTGTCATAGTTTTAAAAATAGCTTTTCGTTGGGTAGGTAAAGTAATTTTGGGGCTTAATATTAAAACTAACGATATATTTTGGTTTATAGAATAGGTACCTACCTAACCTAAACTGATTTTATTATCCGTTATCAGTTTTCTCGGTACTACACTCGTGTGTATTTTTTTAGATTCTATTTTTATTTACAATAAAGAATGTTACAAATATACTTACTTATATATACAAACAAATTTGCACTTAATTATTACTGTACAAGTCATGTCCGCGTGGAGTAACAGCAAGAATGTTAGCCGCATTCTCTCGCTAAATGGCAATGCCGATTCTTTGGGTAAAAAATGAGCTATTTTTCAAAGGTTCTATATATACATTTATCCCTATCAAAAATAAGCTCTTTTTTTGTGATTTTCATCGTGGTAATCAGAGACATGCTCCCACTGTACTCAAATTGATTGAAAATTGCAACATTATAATATGCTTTTACGTATAAAATTATACATAATATTCTATTTTTTTACGTGTTAGAAAATAACAAACAATAATTTTGCGGTAAAATTTTGCCTACTCCTGATCTCCTGGTATTTTTTTAACTAACTTGTAGAGTAGATGTTTAAAAACAATTTTCTTTACTAAAATTAAAGTATATTTGCCAAATATAATTCGAATATTTTATAAATATATCCTACATTATACAACCCTGATCGTAACTATTACCTCTCAGGTAGGTATGGATGAGCTCAATGACGTCATCGAAAATAACTCTGCTAGTTATTCAACGCCAAGTGCAAACTAGAAAAAAATCTAAATATCTTTTTTCAAGTATCTAAAATAAAAATTGTATATTTATAGATGAAGATCCTTAAGCAGACATTTAATAATTTATTAATATGAGAGTAGAAACCACGAAAAAGTGTTTAAAACTATTTGTCTGTTTGCCCGCACATTGTATGTTATTAAGTTAATCTAAATACACAAATCTGCAAACAAAAATTAATTATACGGGTATCTTGCATAGCACATACCTACTACGAGTATGCTCATAATAGTTGTAAAAAATAATAATTAAGTGATATAGTACCTGGGCGACCGACTTTCGCTCGGAGTTTTTGGCCAGAAAAAAACATTTAAAAGAAACAAACTAAAAATTTGAATAAATCCAAAAAAAACAAAAGTAAAAACTTTGTTTCTGACCGGGATACGAACCCAGACACCTGTGGTTGTCAAGCTTGCGCCTTGACCGCTTGACCACGATGCTTATGTCCTAGCGTGCTAATTAGCGACCATATTTTGCGTGGAATAATGCGTAACAAAACCGCATGAAATCTCGAAAACACGCGTTTTCCCAGACATAAAACTAATCTAGATTGATTTGTCGCCTCCGAAACCCCCTGCATACAAAATTTCATGAAAATCGTTGGAGCCGTTTCCGAGATTCAGATTATATATATAAATATATATATACAAGAATTGCTCGTTTAAATATATTCGATTTCCTTGACATGACTTAAATTTTAGGTCTAGTGCTATTCGTCTATTTAAGCTGCGACGACTTCGTACTAAGTACTGATTTTTTCTTTGAGCTTAAGTGTTAAAATTTAAAAGCCGTTCTGTGTCAAGTGAGAAACATTTTCGTGTTTCAGAATCTGTGTAAATCATTTTTTATATTTGTATACCGTATCTATATCCTTACGGCTATACGTAAGGAAATTCGCGTTAGCCTAAGTAACAAATAATTAAATACTAACCGTTGAAACGTATTTAGAGAAGAACTCGAGCGAAGCGAGGGGGAGTCCGCTAGTAATACATACTAAGAAAACAATCTACAAACCATCTGCTAAGTAAGTGCATGAAAAGCCATGGATAAGTGAAAATTCTCACTCCATTAAGACCGAAAGTGTATAAGATTGATTAGCTCTAGGGTTATTAAAAAAAGATCAGAAATGAAACAATTCCACGTGGTAATGATTATGAGAGATTACATAATAAATATTCCTACGTTAGAAACCGACAACCGTTGTATCGCGTGTGGAAATAGTATAAAGATGTAATAGTGAAAAACAATGAAAGTGTTCTGAGGAAACGTCTGCGGTAACTTTTACCGCGTACATTGTTTTTACATGGCACAGGGTGAATGTATTTTCGAGTAGTTCTTTACATATTCATAAGCTTCAAGTATACAAACTATAAACTAAGTGGTGTGCCAGATCTTACTTCCTTTAGAGGCACCTTATTTACCAGTTAGACGGTTTCATTTTCATTATACCCGCTCAATACTATGTAATAAAACCGATTTAAAAAAATTATAGGTACCTACTGTAAAAACTCCTGATTCTACGCTCCAATATACGATTATATTTCTGTATATAAATTTTGATACGTGTTGATTTCGTGTGGTTTCTGTACGTCTATTCTGAAAAAAACTTTTTTGTATCACGATATACTGAATCTGCGCTTATACCTACTTCATACAACTTTATGAAGTTCTATGTATATTGTATGTGACACATATATACATATATATATACACATATATACATATATATATATATACATATATATATATACATATATATATATGTATCTAAATGCTATGAATATATGTATTATGTAATTGCTGCTAAACCTGCGGTTTTTAATTATGCATTCTTATTATAGTCGAACAGTTTTAGTTTTTAAAAACTTATATATTTTGTAACATAAATACAATATACTCATTAATATGTAAATTATTAATTAAGGAAAACTGATCCTAACATCCTCTGAAAGCTGAAAGAAATGAATAAAAATATTATGTATGATTGTATATTATATAATAGTTTATTATGAAAAGCGGCCGTCTCTAAATGTTTACGGAGACCGTTGATGGACGGGCTTACGAAGCGCTGACAATAATAACTTTATTTATATTGGGTACCTTATTTATAACCTAACTATAACATTTATATTTTTTTAACTATAATTTTTATTATAGTTAAAAATTTTTTTATTAAATTTAATACTTTTTAGGTTTACGCGAATATAAGATAACTAATTACTAATTAGACATTTTAAATAAACATATTTTCGGATTTTGTCGGGGTTTTTTTTGTGAGAACTATTGAAACGTCTAAGACCTTAATCTCTCCCGTGACCATGGTTGCTGTAAGGCATTCGAAACGACGAGAACCAAAATAAAAACCGCGACAACGTCCGAAAAGATAGTTTTATTTAAAAAGTGTAATGAATTATCATAACATATTTCGTTTTTAAATAATTCTTACACTGATATTATTATTATTATTTTTGGTTAAAAAATTTTAAAGCTCTCTGTTAGGACTTACTACTATTTAAGAATTTTCTCAGCCCATTTACTATTTTATATTATATTCGGCTCAACGCTTCAGATTAGTATGTTATTAAATAATTTTATTATATTTTGAATATAATATAAGCTATTTTTTTTGCTCTGGATGAAATTTAAAAGCGATGTGTACCAAATAGGTTTTATTTATGGCTGTACACCTTCATGGTATGTTTAATTAAAAGTATTATGTTAGTTGAAATGAGACGTTTCTGTATAAATGAAGAAAATGATGCGCTATTGTATTCTACTTCTTATGAACACAGATAGATGTATTGTTCTTAACCACAGGTTGCCTCAAGAATTAAGATAATGCTTGACTAAGCACACTATAAAAGGAGAGCACTACTACGAAGAAACTTCTGTTCATGTTATACAAGTTTTATTCTTGTAATAATAAATAAACTAAATATGTACTAAATTGACTTATAACTTTACTTATAAAACAGGTGAAAGTCTACGTAGATAACAACCGAATTGTCTTCATATTATCTCTTATCACTCTTAACACTTAAAATTTTAAGTAATGCTATGATTATCTTTTCTCACAATTGTCTATGGATAATTTATTGAAAAAATATCTGTCTGTTTGTATCCGCCAACCTCCGGAACTACCACGATTTTTACGGTTATTAACTATGATGAATCAGAATAGGCTATCTATCTTATGTGAAATGTTTGTCTCTATTAGTAAAAACGATAGATAGATTAGTTATTGGTAACCACCGTAAGTGGACTTCAATAGTGGATATATTCAAAAAAATATATACTTACACATTTAATTATTTTTCTACGACAGTTAACAGCATAGGACAAAGGATAAAAAAGAGTATAGGATAAAGGATAAAAAAGAATGGTTAGCACGATTATCAAGGCGCTTCGGTCGACAACTAATATGAAAAATATAACAGTACCTGTACTGAATATCACCCGTATATAACCATATAAATTTAAAATTCTTAATAATAATTTATGGTTTTTATTGAGTTGTTTAGTATTACTTGAATAAAATATTAAGTTTCTCATTAATTACGCGCTAATGCTCGCCTCCAAGGTTATGTGTCAGATGTTAACATAGACAAACAAGACGTTATAAAGGAATCAAGGATTTATCAAATGAAAAAATAATTTTATAATATTATGTATACAGTTTAATTTAAGATAACAAAACCTCACCATACGTACTTTGCAGGAAAAATACAACGGAAACCTTTTTATTTTAGAATTTTAACGAAAGGGAACTTCCAAGGTCCTACTCGCACTTAGCCAATTTTATTTTTCATTCTTACCCACTTGTATAAAGTCGTGGACAGACAATTTTAGATTGTTAAAGGAAATAGTTCAAATATAATAACCTAATAATAAAAATACTGAAATGATGTAAAATTCTAAAGTAATCCTTACAATAATATAGTCTAAGATCCCAAGTAAGGTCGTCCTTCACCCATCTGCTTACCAGATTATTTTGTATCAAACATCATATACTAAAATTATAACGCAGATGTCTCAGTCTACTAAAATACGATCAAGGCTACCTTTAATAAAAAAAAGAATAAAAATGAGTGCTTTTAAATTTTTTTTTCTATTTTCTACTATAATCTTAGTAATTGCTTGTCAAACAATACTATCAGCACTCACTTGATGACCCCGTCCTCGATGTAAACGTCAGCGTCCTCCATACCGTCGTCGTTGACAACTCGTCCATTCTTGATGAGAAGGCGGTTCTGGGAACTCTGGAAGGAAGATATTTATTTATATAACACATTGTTAAGCACTTAGCCGTAACATAATTTTCTATAATTTTAATCTTTTTGTTTAAATTACAAATTAGTGACCCTTCCTAGTTCCTAGCTTTTCTTGGGTGCTAAGTACCTACACTGACAATAATTGTTACATTTTAAATAAAAAAGGTATATCGACATCAAAATTACTTTAAAGTAATAAAAATGTGACCACGCTTGAGGTACAGATATATTTAAGATCATTAATAAACGAATTATGAAAATCTATTCTCAATTACAGAATGTAAGGCGTAATATCCTTCTTAAGATTGGGATAACAAATTATAACTATCCGTTACATAAAAATTTAAATATTTCAAAATCATGCATTTCTAGCATGTACAGCTGCATATCCGTAGGTCCTGGGTTAGTCCCGGGTCGGGCCAAGTTTAGCGTTAAGTCTTTTTGTGAAGAATATCTCAATAGCAGTCCTGAGTTGGGAAGTAGGCAGTGTTTTATCCCCGTGCCTTGAAGAGTACAGAAAACCATGGTTTCTGTGCCTGATCGAAAGGAGTAGAATACACTTGTTCACTATAATAATATCCCCTGCGTGCTAGTCTCAGTGAGATTTGCCGTCGTGGCCGAAAACGTTAAGGAAGACATCATTAATTGATGATCCTTTCTTAGATTTACGCGAATACTTGACATTTTAAATAAAACTATCTTTTCGGATTTTTTCTCGAATTTATTTTGATTTTTGGTTCCAAAAATCGAAACTTCGGGAACCAAAAATCAAAATAAATTCGCGAAAAAATCCGGAAAGACAGTTTTATTTAAAATAATTGATGATCATTAGAAAAAAATATTTCTTTTTTTTACTACAGTCAAAGTGATCTTAGGTATAAGATAAGCGTAAGTACGTGTACAATATACATACTTATATGATTATTATCAAACATTGTACAAAGATATATTAATATTATCAAATAATAAAAGAGACGTAAATAATAATAATGCAATAAATGTCAACAGTACTTTAAAATCAGAAATACTAGTATTGAAATTATGCTTCTATGAAATCCAATATAAAACTTAGAGGGCACTTAATATTTAACATTACCTTTATTTTATTGTTAATAAAGTCAAAAGCGGAATTACTGCTGTGTTTTATAGAATCTCTTAAAACTAAATAATAAGTGACTAATAATAATTTGATGTATGCACTTATGAAATTGGAGTTTTTTTGTAATATATAGGCAATAAAAAATAAGCCAAATTATTTTTTTTTTAGGATCACACAATACACTGAATGTATTTATTTCGTAAGACAAAATAATTAAGAATTTATGATAAATTTTAAATCATATAAAACTTTGCACAAAGCTTATTCTAGTGTAATATTAGCAAAAGCGAAATTTTCCCATGAATCACTTCTCACTTTTGCAGAACATTCCAATTATGGAACTAAAAAGTAAAATTCAAAATAGTTCAAACAGAAGGGTTCAATCTTCATATACAGAAATCACACACGACAAATCAATGAAAATCACTGAAAAACTGATTCTTACTTTAATATTGATCCCAGACACGGTAACAATTCCTACCATATTAAAAATACGCAAAATACGTAAATTCAACAATATGGCGACGCGTCGTTCGCGGGACGACGGCTGAAACTGAAAATGTAATGCCGAAAATAGAAGGTGCACTCCCTCGCACGCAGTTAGCTCAATAGAAAGTCGATGCGATGCGAACGACAACACTTTAAATTAATGCTATTATGGCGTGTTTCCTTAATTTCCTATATGTTAATTTCTATGTTTTATTTTATGCATGGATCATATTTTTATAGGTCCTACTTAAAAGTTTTTTTTTAGTTTTTTTTTAACTCTGTTTGTAAAAGGAATACAGCTAACTTCATCATGTCGCTTTTTGGCTGTCGTTGTGCGCGCATCGTAAAAATTTTACTCTCATAACATTTCACAAACATGCCAAAAGAAGTATAACTTCAAAATCTTTTTTAAAACTAATGCTAGTTAGGTTTATGTCATGGCATTAATTTGTTTTTATTTTCACAATAAGTAAAAAGATGTCTTTGGAGTCGTGCCAGCTGTTTCAAAGTCAATGAAACTAACTTTTCCTGGCTGATTAAATGACACTTAGGCGTAATTTTTTTAGAGTACCTACATATATGCGTATAATGACACCCGTCCACAAACTATGGATTTTTGAAATATTCGAATCATCTCACCAATCTCATCCCAAAGGGATGACAAATGGTACTAAAGTTTGTATAGGAAATAATATTTTTTGGGTATAACAATCCATTTAAAAATAGCAGCTAAATTTGCGTGTTATACACAAGCTCATAGTAGATATGACTTTTTAATCTATGAAATAGTTAATTTTTACGATATTTTGTAGTAGGTATTAGGTAAAAGCAATGAAGTTAGTGTGCTTTCTTTTTTATACTAGTTAGCGGTACATGCGATACAGTTAAAATTAACTAAGTTTAAAACACAAATTAAGCTTTTTAGATGATGAGATGATTTATCTTTATTTAAAACGTCAATATATATTTTTTCATAAAAGCGGATCTATTATTTGTATTGACATAAAAGAAATTTGTTTTCCTATGCTAATAATAAGGTTAATGTAATTCAAATTTTATTAATCGTTAGGTTGAAGTGTGCAATGTTATCTTCATAATTTTGTTAAAATAATAAAAAATATATACAATAATTAAAAAAAAAAGATCTTTATTCTAAAAACAAAGTTTCATTTAAATAAGGGATAGGTACTGAACTAACAAGAAACAAACACTTGAGACTATCTCTTTAACATTTCAACGGTGGCCACTTATCCTTGTCAGTACTTCGTTTTCCCCACGTACCGCCTACAATAAACAAAATGATAACAGTACAAGGATCTCAAGTGCGAATCACACAGCAAATGATAAACATAAAGAAAATCATACATTGCCTTAGCCATAGTAAGATACCAACTTGCCTAATAAAGATACCAATGATTATATATACGTATAGTATGTATTAGTAGTATCCTATTGATTGTAATGATAGTACGAGAATAAGAAATTTTCACAATAGAAAACTTACTCAAGATTTAAAAAAAATGCATGCTTGTGTACCAGAAAAGTTAAATACAATATTCACTCCTCAATCTTAGAGATATTTTTTCCCTCCATAATTTTATTAGGACCACCCTCGAAGTTATTGTTTATTACTATATAAAAATGTAGATGTATATTAGAGCAATAAAATCTGGAAGGTATCTACTAAAATCTCAATCAGTTAAGTAATCGAGTAACCGGCATAAACATCTATACAAATATTATAAAGAGGTAAAGTTTGTGAGTTTGTGACGTTGTAAGGGGTTATCTCTGGATCTACTGAATCGATTTAGATGAAATTTGGTTAGGTTAGGTTACTTACTTTTCATCCCGGAAAGCATCCCTGAAGGGGGTGAAAATGGGGATGAAAGTTTGTATTGGGAAACAAGCTAGGGACAAATCCGAGCGAGTCGCTAGTTTTAAATAAAATTCCTCGAATCGTTTTTACAACTACAAAATTACTACAATTTCTACTGAACTTCGTCTTCATACCATTTCGAAAAGAAAAAATAACCTTAGTCCTATGAGTTTGTCTTCTCAAAGAACTGACGAAAAAAAATCGCTAAAAAATGTATAAACAAACATTTCTAAATTAAGTTATTTAAGTCATGCAGATAAGATTAATCGTTATCTTTACCAAAACTAATAAAAATAATACTGTTTGATATACTTTTTAATTTTAGCGTATTTTAATAGACCGATTATATACTTGATATAAACTTCTCACGGTGAAGCGAAAATAATTCTTTCATTGGAATTTAACGCTAGTGCGTACTATTTTATTAAAGGTTTTATTGCCCCCATTAAAGAAAACTGTTGTGTTAAATCGCGCATTACTTTATAAAGACAACATAGAAATTATACAGACCTTTTTAACAGTACAGGTTGCTACTCAGAATTAATATTGCTCTTAAATTAGAAACATACAAAGCAAAATGTTATTGCTTGATGTAAAAGCTATTTATTATAAAAAATAAAACGGTTTTAATCGGTTTAGGAAGTCCCAAGATAGATGAATCTGTTTGTCGTGTCTTAATTGTGAGAAAATGAAATTGATGTATGCAAAGCGTCGGCGAGTATAAGTGACGTGTTGGTGTACTTGTTAGAAAGCATATCTCACTTTGGATTGCATTAGTTCATTGAAACCGAAATAGCACAAAAACATGGCAAGCAAATCTTGCTATACTGGAAAGAAATTAAACCACTTTCCCAGATACGGTTTCCATTTGATTAGATGTTATTAACCTTTCGGTAGTCAGTGAACGTCTCGTCAAGGAGTAATGCTTTTAATATACATAATATAATATTTGTACAATTCGTAGTTTTATTATCTAATATAATTTTCTATTGTGGGCAAACTAATATATTTATCAATGTCAAGGTTACAAAGTCGACTATTGGATAATGAAAATGTTATGGTACTCTACACGACGTTGAATTGATTTAGAAATAAAATTATTATTGTAATTTAATATACATATTATGTTTATAGTTTTGCCCAAACTGATTCATCACTGTCCATACCCAACTGCAGGACCTAGCAAGATGGAATTTTTCTTGTCATATTTAGCCGTTATTTAAATTCGAATTTCGAACCATGAATGGATGAACAAAGGTTACAAAGTTTATATAGGAACTAGCGAGTCACCCTCGCTCCGGTCGGGTTCGTCCCTAGGTACGTTTTATTTTAACGATTAGTAAAGATTTCTTAGCGATGAGATCTTTTCCCTCAGTAAAAAATATCCTATATGTTGACCCGGATAACCAACTATTATCATACCAAATTTCATCAAAATTTGTTCAGTGGTTTTCTTATGATGCGTTTCCAGACAGAAAGATACAAAAACTATACATTTCGCCTGTGTATCAATAATAATGACTA